ATAATAATGACGTCGGTGATTCAGATAACTCAGAGGGAAAAATTAGTGGATGTAATAATGTGAGTAATGGCTATCCTTCAATGAAACCACCAATGTTCCAAAGGGGGGTGCTAAGGACAAATTGCATAGATTGTCTGGATCGTACTAATGTGGCACAATATGCATATGGATTGGCTGCTTTGGGTCATCAACTCCATGTTTTAGGAGTTACAAATTCAACAAAGATAGACCTTGATGATCCTTTGGCAGAAGAATTAATGGGGTTCTATGAGAGGATGGGTGATACACTTGCTCATCAATATGGTGGCTCTGCAGCTCACAACAAGGTAAAGCTAGTGCTTAGCATTTTCCTTTCTTTTTGCGCATTTTTATGAATCAATAATTTCATTTAGAAAATATAGGTGTCAAAAATGTGTATAAGTTGCTAAAAATGACACAACCGGAGTCATTCACAGTCGTCCATTAAAGTTGTCCAACTATCAATTAATATGGTTCTTTCCTTACACCAAAATACAGATGAAATAAGAGAACTTTATGGTTTCTTCATCATCTTGCTATATGAAACAATCTTCCATTTCTCTAATTTACTTTTGTCAAATTATTAGTTAGGCTAGACTAGTGATGAAANCCGATATGGGACACTAAACATGACTAACTACTTCACAAACCATAAGCTTTCTTAATAAGAGCTCTGGTGGGCTCTCCTCTCCTTAACCACATATGGCATAACTGAAGTCTAACGTTGAAGCCCAATGCAATTTTCTCACTCACATTTCTGAAATCTAAAACTAACTAGCCTATCGGATAATAATTGGAGTAGGGTTCCAATTCCATTTTTTATTTCCCATTTACCAGTCATAATAATTGCCGTTATTGGATATCCTGCTGCTGCAAGCCTGCAAGGGCACGTCTGTTCTCCTTGCGTTCTCTTCCGTTCCTTAGGATTAACATGTCTGTGAATGTTATTCGAGAGACTAGCCAACACTTCGCCTATTCTTTTGTTTGACTAAAGATAAATGACAAGATCTATTATGTTTTATTTTGTTGAGTTTACTACATTTGATGCATGGTGCTGCACTTTCTCTATAATTGCTCAACCTTAAGTGCTTTAACTGATAAGATCTGGACATTTTAGTGTACAATAAGTATTGATGCTACAAAATTCTTCATTCTTTGTTCTGTGATACATTTTCGAATATTTTTTGACATACTTAAACCGACCGAAACAAACTGAAAATCGACCGAACCAAATAAGCAAAAACAAAAAAACCCGAAGAAATTTCGGTTCGGATATTGGTGCAACAAATCAAAAATCAGAAAGCGAATAAGCCTAACCGAATTTCATGAAAACCGAATCGAACCGACCGACCCCCTCCCCTAAGCTAAGTGAAAAAACACCCCTTTCTCTGTACCCTAGGGATCCATACCGAGAGATTTGGGAAATCTGACCCCTCCCATTTCTGAATATCTCTTGGGAAGCTTACTTCCCAAGATGGGCTATGTAATAAAAAGAACCAGTGGTGATGCTAATCTATTGCTTGTTATATCATAGACGCGTGGCATGGAGATACTTCGTTCAGGAATAAATATCTAAACCACTCATCCAACTAGTTGCCCTTCTCATCTGGTACTAAGAAAGACTTAATTAAAAAAAAATTTTGATACTAAGAGAGAAGCTTTCCCTTTCATAATTCCTTTCCAGAAGCTTACTTCATAAGGGCTTGTTACTCATTACTCAATCTCCCATATTTTTCAAATATCTCCTTCTCTTTTGTGCATCCCTTATATTTGCGGATGTCCATAGCCATTCCAACAGGGACATATGGAAGGCCTCTGGTATCCTTATCATAACCCGCCCTCCCATATTGAAGGATCTAGTCTTCTCATCTTCTACTTTTTAATCTTTTGTCTTGCTTTTGGAGGGTGACAATTTCTGCAATCTTGTCACTAGTGATAACTTTTAGAACTGACTATAATGTTTGAGTGCATTTATGTCAGTCATGCATTCTGGAATATAACATGTGATATCTTCTGTTTGGTTACTGTATATTAGCCTTTTTCTTCCCTATTAAACATTTTAAAATGTACTGTTCTCATTATAAAATATACATATGCTTTTGGGCCTCTGCATGGATAATATGTATAATATATTTGGGGTGTGGTGGTGGTGGGCGGGAGTGTTGTGGTATTTAAAGTTTTTTGTATTGTGTGTGTGTAGAAGTACTTACAATTTGTCTTTATCAAAAAGTATTCACAATTTATCTTCTCAACTTTCTCAAGATTAGTCTACATCAGCAGAAGGTATTCTATTTTGGCACGTTAGCTGATTTTCTGTATGATTTGTTCCTTCAATCCATGGTTGGCAGTTAATAGCATAGCCTACGTGGCTACTAATGAGCTATTATAGCTTATGTTTAGAAGAGCAAACATGGTTGCAGCATAACTTTATGAGTTACTGTACAAAGATGCCCAGGCTTGTGATATTCTATTATTGGACCTCTTAAATGGGTGATTGTGTTGTACTTTCTTAGCATGGTCTATTATGCAATGCTATAGGTTTCAGTTTTCTGTTCTACTACTTGGGCGTTCCCATCAGTCTTCTTTAGTTATATTTCTCATCTGGACATCATAACTGTCTTTCTTCTTAGTGCTTACCCTGCAATTCTGGTGCTAACTTTTTTTTCCCCTTTCTAGATATCTGAAACGAGGCGTAAATGAAAAGGGTAGAGTTGCAAATGATGTTGAGACTGAGCAGATTCTATTTGAGGATGTTCCAGAAGATTTCCCAGTGCATATTAGTTCTGCTGTTCAAAATCGTGGGTCTATCCCACTCTTTTGGTCTCAGGAAACTTCACGACTAAATATCAAGCCCGATATTATATGTATGTTCAAGCAAGTTCATGCTCCCTTTGTAAGAATTTAAAACTGCCGTTCAGTTAACTTAGTGTTTGTCATTTAGTGTCAAAGAGGGACCAGACATATGAAGCTACGAGACTTCATTTCGAGAATCTTGCTACGAGATATGGGAACCCCATCATTATTTTGGATCTGATTAAGGTGAGGGATGCTTTTGTCAGCCTGTTGTTTTCTCTTGTAATAATCTGACAAAAGATCAGAACTAGACTGTTATGATGTCCTAAGGGGCAAGTAAAAGCATTTCTTCTTAGGAGCAGAGTGCCTTCTTCCTGAACAACCTGATTACCCTACCCTATCTCATTAGGCATGCTAATTTGCTAAAAGAAGGGTGAATAAGGAAGAAAGCATCTCACTACTGTGAAATTTTTTGGCAGACCCAAGAAAAAAAGCCTCGGGAGTCTATCCTTCGCACCGAATTTGCTAATGCAATTGAATACATCAATAAAGATCTGTCTGAGGAGAATCGACTTAGATTTCTCCACTGGGATTTGAACAAGCATTCACGAAGGTAATTGACTTGTTCATTTCTGTTTCTTTAACTTCTTTTTCAAAGATCTGATTTGCTATAACTTTTGCTCTTCCTTTTTTCCCCTTTCCAGCAAAGCTACAAATGTCTTGTTTTCTCTGGGAAAAGTGGCTACATATGCATTGAATTTGACTGGTTTCTTCTATTGTCAAGTAACACCAGCCTTAAGATCTGAGGGATGTCTGAAATGGCCCATATTTGAGTAAGTTTCTCATCCCATTTGACAAATCTGCAAGCACTTGTAAGACATAATTTCTATACAAATAACCTGCTTTTATCATTTTATGTGGTAGCACATTTATACAATTGAGTTGATTATTTACATCATGTCCAATTGGCCATTCACATTCCTTATCGTCAGCAAAGTTTAATCTTTCTTATGGTGTTTCATTCTCAATGATGTTTTACCTTATCCCTCTTCTTGCATATTTACTTCTTTTTGGTAGTTATTAGCATATTTACTTCTTTTTGGTAGTTATTCCTCTATGCAGCTGTCAGAAAACCCATCGCTTTTGTATTATTATTTGTCATGGTCTTGAATCTTTAGGATTTTGTTTCCTCTTTGGCGTAGTGTGCATTAATTATCCTCCTTCGGTTGATCCCCTTTTTTAATCCATTCTTAGAGGCTTTTGTAAATTTTATGGATGAATGAATGTAAATCTTTGCCAAATTGCATCAAAGGGGTGGTAATGACCGTCGTTACTTGAACTTCATGTGTTTGAAGTTTGGATCAGTTATTGGTAGCGTACATCCTAACACACTCTAAGAAATTACCCCAGGAGAAAACCAATATACTCGGAATTGCTAAAGCACAGTAGTTTATGCTGTGCCGGTCATCTCAGTTGTTTAGCTGGGTATAATTGTCTTAAGACGGCAATGGGCTGAAACTTTTGGGACATCTCATTTTTGGCATTTGACATATTGGTTTTGTCATATTTGAAGTGTAAGTGATCAGCCCATGGCTGCTGCAATCTAGACAGGCAAAGGTTCACTAGCCATATGATTGTGCTGCAAAAGGGAAAACTTGTGCTGATTTGATGTTGAATTTATGGAGGAATGCTGCAAAAAGATTTAGGTTTTAGTCCCCATTATTGTCGGATGGCATGATGGAGGGATAGGCTTATACTTAAAGGAATTACTTTGATATACATGAATAATTAGTTAGTTTTAAAATTAACTATTAAGTTGATATAAGAACGAAACATATTGATATTTTATTTCTTTTTAAAACCTATTTTGTTTTTGTAACATATAAATAGATTTCTTTTTAAAATCTATAGTATTTATTCATCATCATTTAAGATTCAATATATATTGTTTCCTTGGGATCAGATTTTATCCTATGAGATGGGACAAAGGGACAGATGTTTTATACATAAGTAGGTCCTAGTGTGGTTGAAAAGCCGAGTCGAATGCGAAGGGCGTAGGGGAAGACTCTTTAGACTATTAGTTGCTGGTTTTAACTTGCTTTCCAACATTTCCTAATGGAGCCCTCGTCATCTATCCTTGTGCATTGATTCTTGTTCCCAATAGGGGATGGGAATACATCTATTCCTAAATGATGAATACTCAACGTCCGGTACGACTCTTTTCATAATATTACAATTGCACTCGCTTCTCTGCAGCCTCTTTCAATTGGCAATAATACAACCGTCTGGATCATTTGCTTCCTTATATAAATCCTTGCTGTATATTTTCTTGATGCCATCTGTTATCTTTCAAGTCATTGGGTTCACGACAAGAGTCAAAAAGCTCTTCCATATTCAGTGATGCAGCATAGAATTTCTGCACTTCTGTGTTTCCCAAAGATGATACGAAAAAATATTCTTGTTCTATGTTGATGTGAGCTACCATCTAAAGTAGGTCAATAAAAAATGGATAAAGTTGAATTGCATATACATTAGGTTTTCTGTTGTATGCTTGAGCCACTTAGAATTGTTTTTAAAAATAGTTGCAATGATGTGGCACAGGAATGCTGCTGCTAGTAATATGGTTCCTTTGAAACATTTTGACCCTGATGTTGAGAAACAATATAATAATGACGTCGGTGATTCAGATAACTCAGAGGGAAAAATTAGTGGATGTAATAATGTGAGTAATGGCTATCCTTCAATGAAACCACCAATGTTCCAAAGGGGGGTGCTAAGGACAAATTGCATAGATTGTCTGGATCGTACTAAATGTGGCACAATAATGCATATGGATTGGCTGCTTTGGGTCATCAACTCCATGTTTTAGGTAGTTACAAATTACAACAAAGATAGACCTTGATGATCTTGGTCAGAAGAATTAAATGGGTTCGTATGAGAGGAGTGGTGGATACACTTGCTCATCAAT